AGTACTCTCTCCAGCTTCTAAATCTTGCTAAACCTATTCGCTAATCTCAAACTGATGGTTCCTCTGCCACTGCTGCAAGAATTATGGTTATAGCAGCATACAAATAAATATTACGATTGCTATATTTAGTCCTTCAAGCTTTTAAAAAAGATAAACAACTGCATTTCCTCTTGATCAACATACTGCCATTCTGGCTCACATGCATTAAACCTTAAATAACTCCCAAAATTAATCTTTTCATTATCATGAGATGGATGAAATACTGAACACCAAACAAAACTCAGTTTTGAAACCAATGCGCTCCAAGTGGCACTCCTCAATGATCATGTAACATAGATGACACTTTTTTTTTTTTTTTTTTTTCAGCTTCCCCTATTTCTGGTCGTCAATGAAGGAAGAGGCAATTCAGAGCCTTAAAAGCAGATATAGCTTTCAGAGACTTAAATGCAGACATAGTTTTCAGAGACTTAAATGCAGACATAGTTTTCAGACTTAAATGCAGACATAGCCAGCACATTTACCTTTCATTTACTGATGATACTGGTGATAATTAGAAGCATAGCTTGCTTTTTACGGTCCCATAAAATAGCTTATAGAGTACAAAGTCTGTAATCCAGATGCCCATTATCCAGAATGATCTATAATCCGGACCTCAAAGCCACAAACTTTACGCATGCGTGCAAAGAATGCACATACATTACGTATGCACATAAAGAATGTGCATGCGCGTGTTTAAAGAAATGTTTAATAAAGTAAACAAATAAATATTAAGCTTTTTTTTTTTTTGTAAAAATTTGATACCCTTTAGATCATAATTGCTCTTATTTCATAGATTACGGTTTATATTTTCAATGTATAAATTCTGCATGCCATCTTACCAGATTTAAATTGATTATCTCTAATACGGAAATACCCCTAATCTGGAATCGCAGAAGTCTCGAAGTTTCGGATTACAGACTTGTACCGTACTTTATATAATCTAATAGTACATACTTTGTGCACCAATCTTATTTTCTTGTATCATCACTAGAAAACAGGAAGCAAAATTCATCGATTTGTTCACATATGTGTTTACTTCAAGACCTAGATGTGCAGGCAAGCCTCCACATTTATTCAACACCAAGTCTGTTCACTGCGACCGCTCAATGACAGAGCGAGATTGACCACTACAACCGGTTTTCTGTCTCTTCTGCTGCTAGACTCCAAAGGGGTAGGACGTGCTTCTGTCCGTTCTCACTGCGGAGGACGCGTGTCTGCATTTTGTTCTTTTTCGTGCCTTTCTGACGAAATTCTCCATATAGTTTCAAGAGAATGCATTTTGTCAAGAAAAATAATAGTAAGTGATATGAAGATTCAACTAAAATTGATCTAGATGCTGACTTCTGCGGTAGATGAATGATGTTTTACAACTTGAGACGTTCTTGAAAGGAATTCCCGTGCACATGTTGCATCTGATGCTAGAATTGGCCTTGTGTTTCCACAAAAATATACTGGAATAACAATTCAAGTCCTTCGCTATAAAAATTGAGTTTTGTTATCATGTAACTTTGTGTAACGAAGATGAACTGAGATTTTTAGATTGGAACTTTACGCATTTTGGGCACGAAAGGTTAGAACTCAAAACGGTAGGACTGATTCTTACTGCTGCAGTAGTTTGCCGTCTATTGCCTTCTGTCTGGATATGTTTTCTTGATTTATACTAGTATTAATTTAAAATTTCACGATGTCAAGATATAATGAATTTCTCGTAATTCACATTATTTGAAGTGTCATCCTTTGGGGGTAAGTTACTTTAATTCCATATTTTTTTCAGATCACACATTTTATCCTGCACGTATCCAGTATTTCTGGGTTATTGCAGACACTTCCATTTATCATCACATTTGGCACCCATTTACTATTACAATAGAGAGCATCCAAATCACCTATTTTGGGATATGCATATCCGTATCAGTATGGCCAGGATATTGTGCATGGCAAACCATGTCTGGCTCATGAAACAAAGCGTAGTGGGTACATGACAATACAATAATACATGACGAATAAGTAGGAGGACTAAGGCATTTTTGGATAAATGTTTTCCTTAAATTTTATATGCATTTAACCTTCAAAAGGAAGTAACTTTTGGAAAAGTTTCACTCAAAGAGATGGGAAAGAGGAATGAACTTCCACCTCATTTTCAGCTTGGATTGCAAATGGAAAAACCAGACTTCTGAAACCTTTCCTTTATGGGGTTGTCTTGTCAATTTTTAGATAAGATGTTAGGGAATACAAAGAATATTTTTTTCTATTTTCTGTTGATTCTCATCCCTCAAGTAAGGAAACCTATGAAGTTGCTACTTCATAAACTTAATTTTTGCGAACAACACCTTGTATTGGAAATAGGCCTTAGTAACAAATATTTCATACACACACCTAAAATCAAGACATATGCTAATATGTTTCAATTTGTTTCTCAAATTTAATATAGTTTAGAATGACATATACAGATAAAAAATTTTAATTTATACATGAAATTTTTGTTTAACCATTTTTTTTCCCTTGGATAAATGGGCAATTTGCATTAACTTTTTATAACAATTGAGTAAGAACTTTACACATATGTATTAAAAAAATCCCTTTGCATTTTTGTGATATTAGCTTCATTTTCTTTTCATTTGAGTAAACTTTTTGATATTCTCATTCAGTTTAAAAAAACACATTCTATTGAATTTTCTCTTTGTACTTAGTAAATATTTCATCATTCAAACTACATCATTGTTCATTTTTCTTTCCTGCATTTTTGTAATAATAACCTGATTTCTTTCTTTTTAATATCCTCCATTAGTTAAAAAAGCTTTTCATTGATTATATTTTCATTGTGTTTATTACACTGAATTTTGCATCTTTCAGGTGGCAGTGCAGAATATTCATGTGGAAATCTAGAGACCAAGTGAATTATGCAAAACACACAGTTTTCTTTTGCCCTGAGCTAACATACCACTGTTAAAGGAAAACGAGAGGGAATTTACGAAACCACATAGTTGTGAGCAGCAAGAATATCACCAGACAAGGGATTGGGATGGTAATTGGACAATGACTATCCCCCAAACCAGAATTTCTCCGGTCGATCTTTTGGTCGCAGCTGTCTTAATAAAACACTGCAACTATGAACTGCTTTTCAGCCACCTTCTTCAAAGCATTAATGCAAAACATATTAATTTAATATGTGGCATTTTTTCTATGTGTTGCTACCATCTTAAAATGCGGTGTTAGCACAATTCTCCCTCTAAACATACTTGTTATTTACTTACTATGCAGATTTCTACACAATACGTACATTTCTACTTATTTAAAAGTATAATTAATATTGCAGTTTATACGAATTTAGAAACAGAACACAACAGTTATTTTTCTTTTATGAATTTCTTTGCAGTAACGTTTTGGGGTAAGTTTGGTAACTTTAACATCATTTCTTGTATACTATTAAAAAAAAAATTCCATAACTCATTTGATTTCAAGCCATATTTGTCATTACTCCTTAAACTCTAAAGCTAAAACTACATGAGATAATAATTTTAAAATTTGGAAATAACTATGTTTTGTATTTCACTAAACTGGCAAATAATTCAACAGATTTTAAGCACAAGGCATAGATTTTTAACATTATTTTTAAAACTGTTTTCTTACAGTGTGAAAGGTGTTGAAAACCAACTGTACAATGTAAGAACAAGTAAAAAATATCATGTTATAGTATCCAAGAAGAAAATTTAACTGAAAGCACATTGTCTTTCTAATTATCGTGGAAAACACTGCATTAACACCGAAAGAAATAAAAATACATAAAGTTCTGTACAGCAGTGCCAATTACAAATTAAAGCATATAATACATACATGGGTGGTATTGACAAATCCAAGGGGCAATAAGAGAGGAAATCAAAATAAGTGGTGCCACAGGCTTTCCTAGAAATGCTAGAAATATACTTGTTAAATTCATACCTAGCATTAAGAAACAAAGGATTGTACTTTAGTCTTAGGGTACAGATGTCATGTCGGTGGTCAAGGGGATTCAGGATGTTACTCACTTACCCTTTAAGGCTTTAATTTTGCAACCATTGAAATTAATTGAATTAACGGTAACTGTACATTAAAATTTTTAGTTTGAATAAAAAAGAATTCTAATTGGTCTTGCAAATGTGTTTTGCCTGTATTCTGTTTTTTTAAAGATTTTGAGACTATGCATAACCTAAACTAATAATAAGATAATTAATTAATAAAAAAAGAGACTTCTAATAGTTTAATCTATAATTATATATAATAAAATTTTTAGGGGATGAGTTTTTATAGCACTTAACCTTTAATAAGGATGAAAATAATATAAATAAAAATCTACATGAAAAAGTATTAGATTCATAATGTGGTAGATAAAAGGTTAAACTACAATGTTAAACCACTGAACTCTTATATTAACTACAGACACTGCTAATGAGCTATCTTGTACATAAATTTATAATTGTATCATTACCTGTTTTAATAGTTTTTACTTAAATATTATCAGTTTAGTGAATATTGAAAGTGATAGAACAATTCTCTCCAACACTAGTCTAGAAAGTAATCCTTGAAATTTTCTTCTGGATTTTACATTATCATCACATCCTTTCAACAATATTATTTTAAAGAAAGTCCTAAATAATAATTTACCTTCAAAAACTGTGAATGTATTTACTACTCTAATTACTACATATTTTCACTAATTACAACTAACACTTTCAAGACTAAACAACAATAAAAAAAAAAGCCTCTATAAACACACAAAAACTATCATGAATTAAATTTACAATAATTCTGAAGCGTACTACAGCTCAGGGAAACTATAATTGCAATCAGAATAATTAAAAAAAAAGACAAGTAAAAATGCTGAAATATGGAAAATACAGAATTATTCTACATGCATTTAGAAAGAGCAGAAATTGTAATTACAAAATGACTTAATAGCACAGGCAGTACAATGTACAAATTACCTCTTTATTTTTGAAATTCAGGCATGACTGTATGTCTTCTGCATATATCCGTTTCAAAAAAGGTGAATTTTTATCAAATGATGGATCTTGCCTCCATTTAACAAATTCACTATTAAAAATTGGATCAACCTGTTAAAAAATATATTTTGTAAATAATAAGTTCATTTTATTTTTTTAGTACTATATAAAACTTTAAAATGCTCTTATGAATAATTCTAGACCACACATAAAAAATTTTCAGATTCCCTCCTGTATAAAAAAATAAATAAATAAATAAATAAAAATAAAACTAATATTGTATTATAATAAGGTTCCCACTAACTCTGGTAATGGATCAACTCGTGACAGTTGATTGTTCACCATAAGTATGCATTACAATACCAAGTAACTATCAATGTAGTTCTGAAACACTGTACAGGGGAACTTAACACAACAGACAGGCAAGTACTCCTATACAATGATATAGGCAAGTACTCCAGAATATGTCCAGTCAAATCTTACATTACTTTTTGAAGTACCATCTAATGCACAGTTGCCACTATATACACTTATGAGCAAAATTGAAATAATTTGCACATTATAATCCAATTTCTGAAAAACTTATGGACAGATTTAAATGAAATTTGGTATAAATTTTGAATTTTTCTGAAACTCTAATGCATGGTTATCAGTACAGCTGTGACACTGTACAAGGATGTCCAAAATCTATGCTGCTATGTCAAAAAGAGTATGCTTCCCTCTCACACCCAGACAGATCACACAGCATGACAGCGTACTGGACAAGAGGCAGCTGAGGAATCCCTGTGACACGCAACACCTACAGTAAGGCAGTTTGCAACTCCAGAATGGTTCTCGGAGGGGGCAAGGAGATGAAACTGCCCTCTCAAAGATGTCCTAGACATGCTGTATAGGGTTAAATCCATGAGATCTGGCTGGCTAATCCATGCAATGAATATATTCACCTTCCAGGTATTGTCAAACAACTATGGACCATGTAGACAAGCAATGTCATCCAATAACAGAACACCAGGACCAACTCCGTCCCATACGTCAAAAACAGGGCTTTAAGATCTCCTCTATATATTTCATAGCAGTCAAAAAGTCTTTGCCAAGGACCATACACGCGCATGTGGTTGTGAAACATAATGCCTGCCCAAACCATTACACCTCCACCACTGTAATGATCCTTTTCCCTGATGAGGGAGGGACGGTATTGTGTTCCACTCTCTGCAAATACAGGTATGCCGAGAATCAGTGTTCAAGTTGAATACTGGCTCATCTGCAAAAAGCACGGTAATTCACTGAAGTCTGGTCCAAGATGCATGTTGTCTGCACCATGCTAACTGTACTCTCTTGCGGTCTGCAGTGAGCATACAGTCCAGACTCATGAACAGTGGGTCTTCTGGCATACAGTCCAGACTCATGAAGCCCTCGCGCAGCTGTAGGCCATGAAACTTAAGGTACCAGTTTCAGCATACAGCTCATGTGAGAGCTGTGAAGCTGTAGCAGTCCTGTATCACAGTGCTGAAAGTGCCAAAAAACAATCCTCATTCATAGTTATGTATCTTGTTCAAACTTGTCCCAGTCTTCTCGACATGGATCTACTGTCCTGAAACTGTTTCCGCAAACTGCAGTGACCTTTGCAGCTACATGCACTTGTGTTTGGCCTGCCTCCAATATACTGACAATTCTATATCACATTCTGTCATCTATACTTTTGTGGCTACTCATTTTACCAGATAGCTTATAAAATTTGCACAACCCTTGCTAAAAACACGCCAAAGTCATGAAGGAGTTCCGAGCACATAAACTGCCAAAATCTAATTGTGTGCTTATATACTTGCCATAATCACAGTTTCACTAACATCCAAGCGTATGCTTAGGGATTCGACTCTAAAATTTGCATAATTCTTCAACAGCATTAAATAATACCTTCAGTTCAATACTCTTCATAAAAATTGACATAATTTGCCAATTTTCTTGATTTTGCACATGATTGTATATCTGACTTCCTCCAAAATGTTTCACGTTGATGTAAATTCAAATATCCTTAAAGACTAAAAATACTTGGGAAGAAGAAAGTGGAATACAACAAACTGATAGAAGACATTATAATGCACTTTAAGCATAAGAAAAGTTAGAGATACAAGGTAGTTCATATTAAATAAAAAAAAAAAAGCTCCACAGGTAAAATAATAATCCAGCCTTTTTTTTTTTTTTTTTTTTTTTACAAATAATGTTCCTAAAGCAAAATTTCAGCACTTCCTGATCATATTTACAGTCAAATAAAATGCTAAAACAAACAAGGCACATTAGATATATTTTTAATTGTATTATAAACAGCAATCAGAAAGTCACTACAAGTCAAAGAAAGATGGCCAATATGGCCCTACCCACTTTCCATAAAAAGGTGAAAGATAGCAATTTAGAACACCATAAAATCTTAAAAAAAAACTAAAGATATATAATATACATATATCATTACTATGAGCCAGTTTTTAGCCATATACAACATAAAAGCCTGTTCGAGTTTGAAAGTCATCTTTTGAAGCATCGCTTCCCTTAAGTAGAGAGGTACTTTGTCATACTTAATTTAATAATAATAATAATAAAACTACCCCAAGGTATGAAATCTGATGGTTTTCCCATTCCTTTTTCACTACCTTTCATGGGAGCTTTTTAACTGACACACTTAGAATACTCCTATTTTTCTCTGCTACTGTCAGAATGTCTATGTCTTGCCTGAAACTTGTACTAAGGCCCAATAGCCTCCATTAATGACCATAGCATCCAGGACAGCAGAACATACATTTTATAACTTTTATTTCTTGATAAATTTTCATGTGCACTGAGGAATATTGATTTTGTCACAAAAGAGACAATAAATTCACTTAAATAAATAAGTCAATAGTTAGCCTGAAAATAATAAATAATTACATAATCTAGTTTTAGAATTTTAATTTAAGAATATATTACTTGGTAGTCTTTATTTTAAGTATTTCAATTAATTTAGCAAATTACTTCTTAACTAAGCAATTCATTTAACACATACCATTTTAATTATTTCAGTAACATAATTATTATTCAAATTACTTGTAAGAATTCAAATAAAATTTTGTGTTTGATGGTATCCAGATTTACTATATTAATTTACTCAAAATTCTACTTTATCTTCTGTAAATCTTCCACTCTCTCCCTAAAAAAGGAATCATTTTGCCATCCCTGCTAAATGTCAACATACACATCCAAAAAGACTGCATTTTTCTGCTTCAAACTCTCTCACTGAATACTTTTTTTTAATCAATAGGTTCTAAAATTGCGCATTTTTTATTTCATATTTCAAATCTACATATACTTTAGAGTTAAAATATACAAAAAATTTTTGTAAAAGAGTTTTTTCCAATATAGAATTACATCACAGAAAAAGACTGTCAGAATACTGAAATTGAAGAATAATGATATAAAAGGAAAATTTTGAAAATTATTATTGGTTAAATTATGATTTATTTTATAAAATACAAAGGTTAAACATATATACTAATGAAAATATTTGCATAATGTAATAGTTTGCATATCAATTTTGCATCACTGTCAAACGTTTTCAATAGAAACTGAATTTTCAGATTCATCACCATCTGCAGAGGAATCCGAGAAATTCACATCAGTTCGCTATAACTATCTTCAATAAACTTGAAATCAGAGTCAGAACTACTATCAGTGTCTGAAATATCATCAGGAATATAGGTTATGTCACTCGCAAAATGCTTCCTGCCAGACATCTTTGAACACTGAAAACCGCGCACAAAATGCTACATTACATATTCTTGTATATTTAGCAGAAATGTGGACAACTAAATCCATCTGTTAGCCCACATCTAAATAAACAATTAAACATCACAGAAAACCCAAAAGGAAACCTTGAACGGGGAAAGAGCGGGTTACACAGTTAAATAAACGGCAAAAATTCATCCCCGCGGAAATCGTGGGTTGCGCGAATTTTGCTATTTTTACGTTGCCCACGGAAACCGCAGCATGTGCAGTGAGAGGGTTAAACCAGGAAATTGCTCTGAAGTTTTTTTTAAAAAAAAGAGCTTTATCTTAAATCACATTAAAAAAAATTTTAAACCTTAAATATTTCTTAAAAACCTAACTGAATGATTCATTCTGGGCAGTATGGTTGCAGTATCTATTTGCTGATAATAATAATGAAAAAAAAAAAAACTGAAGAAATTAAGTGCATAATTCTTACTATGCTAAAACATAAATTGTAAGGTTAAGCTAGGAGTACATCATATTAGCTTCTATGTATAAGCTAAGACTTCTAAATTATGTAACAGTCAAATCAATTCCATGAGAAAAATTTTTGAGGAACAAAATATGAAGAATCAAAATCACTGCAGATTTAAATAAAGAGAAGGAGAAATGGATAGATTTTTAAAAAATTACTAAACTTGAATATTTTCAGGTTTTATAGAACTTTTTTCATCATAATGGCACTATGATGATAAGTATGCTAAATTGGCCTCTAAACTGAAACTTTCATGCCTGTTTAACCCTTTTTAGATGGGAATCCCATATACACATTTCCTACGAACGTCTCTCATAGACGGGCATCCCACCCATGCATCACTCGAGAATGAACTTAAGGGACGGGTGATGCATATATGCATTGTAAACTGAAGCATTTTTAAAGACCACTAGATGGCATCCTGTGTCAATTACTTTTGAACCGAATCTAGTTTTACAATGATGATATTCAGTTTTATCACCTTCTGTATAACATTGGGGTCACATGTTGCAAGGGAGAAAGAAAAGCATAATGTAAAGAAACAGAGCTTGTAACTCGCCACATAATATAAATATCTGGGTTTCTGATAGCCATTTGAATACTTCATTTTTTTCTTCTTTTACTATTATTTAAGGCTACTATGTGGGGTTCTATTATGCTTTGCATTTCTTTTATCATTTATATTTTGTGTACTTTCCTTTTTATTTCAGAAGGACTTGCCTTTAGTTTATTATGGTGACCAAGCATTATATACTTGCATGATAAATGAGCCAATCAGTGGCATGGATGAGTCATAATTCATTTTCTAAAATGCGATATTTCTATCGATTTTCAAAAGAACAGTTAGAGACGAAGCTCACAAAATGTCTGCCTTCCACTTCACAAGAAAGATTTTGTTATTTCTTCTTGTAAATAGACTTTCTTGTATTTAAAGTTTATTAATGTATTTTATTAGTTAAAACTGCAGAATAATTTGAATAGCTCTTCTGAAAATTATTTCTCAAAGCAAGCAATTTTATATACATTTTCATTCAAAGTAAAGGAACAAGATTATTAAATGCTAATTTTAATATATATATAGCTTAAGTAATAATCCAAAAATGTAACAACCATTTCTGCAAGCAACCAATTGCGAGACATAGCAAGAATGTTCAATAAGTAAAATATTAATGGATAAATAAAAAATTTCTAATAATAAATATTTAGAAAAGAACGGCTCCAACATGAATACACAAAATAGGATTTGAACAAGAAGGGGATATGTCCTTGAAAAGTGGCAATAAAACTACTACTTAAAAAAGAGTAACAGTTGACTAATCTGCCTTCCCATCTCCCCACAAAAAAAGAAATGCAGTCATTGAAAAGGAAAGGTGATATTATCAATCTACTTTAAAACTGTTAAACATGTTTAAATGATTAGGGAGCAAAAACGTGGCGAAGGAATATGGGATGCATTACAGTGATATTGACATGCTTCTTACACCTTTTTGCAAAGAGCAGCATTACTGAAAGCAAGCATCCCACAAACTGAAAGGTTTCACAAAGAAATCTATAGTGTCTTCATTTTCTGGCTGGACAGGCTCCTCATTATAACCTGCCTGCTTGTGAAACCTTAGGAGACAAGATTTTCAATGGCAATATCAAATGAGTGGGCAAGTTCCTAGACTTCCATAGAAGGTCCAATCTTACCTAGCTAATTTCATTTCATCGGCACACATCAAGAACATAGAGTATCATGAAATTCAGGATCTGCATCACTTACTGAAAAAGATCATGCCATATTTGAGATTGCACTTCATTAGCAGAAGTAGGAATGCAGCAACTTCAGGCTCATATCTCGCAGGAAACTCTTAGTGATCTTTCACATTTTAGTAGCCAAATTCACTTTCAATTTAACAAAATTCTGGTATTAGTTGATTCTTCAACATGGCTAAGCTACACAAGCCAATTTGCCATTTTATTATTTTCCCACTGATGCCATTACTACAAGCTGCCTGGGACCCAAATTATCTTTCTCAAACTTCCATTCTGTTTTCCAAACCAGCCATCTATAAATTTACTCATGCGAAGTCAAATGCAGTCTGTTCAGTCATCATTCAATCATTGCAAAAAAGTTGCCTTCTTAAGGAAGCAATAACTGAGTGCAATCAAGTACATAGGTTCCTCCCTGTTGGATATGTTAATGATACAATTTCATACTTGTCTATACAAATGACATCAGTACTCGTGAGACTTATTTCTGTATCTGCTATATTATAAAAGGTTGTCCTGAAAAGATTGAATTTATACATTTGAGAAAGATTGCACAGTAGGTCTGTATGAAGGCGAATGGTCATTTTATCATACTGTACACTATACAATAAGAAATACATTATACAACAGATAAAATATTTTGCTTTTATTCACTAATGATCAACTTATTTTCTGCATATACTCGAAAATAAGGAAACAAAGTGGAAAAAAGAATAAAGCAGAATTCCTTGCAAAGTCAGGAATTTTAATACAAACAGTTTACACAAAAAAATATAGAAAATCTGCCATTCATGCAATAAGAGGCTGGAAGAAACTAAATATCCATTTATGCAGTAAGATGCTGGAAGGAATTAAACATCCTCCTAATATAATTTTTAAAAGTATAAAAGAGCTAGCATGCTTATGAACCAGGGGGGGGAAACTGAAATATTTTGAATATTATATTTTAACTCGTCTATAATAATTGACTAAATAGTTTTTATAAGTGCATTTTACAATTTAGCAACATTAAATTTCAATATAAAATTACCGGATGTACCTCATAAGACGGTCGTGGGGGAAGGCGAACTTTTTTTTCAGATATTTCATTCTCTTCTACTGGTGTACACATTTTTGTTGATTGAACAATGGCTTTCAAAGCACTAACCTCTTCTTGTAGCATTCCTAACTGCAAAGGAGAAATAAATACTATATAGAGTGTTAAAAAAGATGGTTACATGCTTTATTTTCTTAAATACTGATCCCAGACACATATACTTCCAATATTCTCAAACTAAGGCAGTGTACTGATAAAAGCAGTTTCAACACTGGGAACAATGGTTATATTTTTATGTTTAATCAAATACTGGAAATTCAGTTCCCACATTTAAATCTCAGTATACATATATGGCACGCATTCGTAGTAACAGCATTAATGAAAACAGTACACCTTTAGGGAAATATATACAGGATTTCCAGACATAGAAAAAGAGTATTCAAAAATAGACTGCATTAAAATCATCAGCAGACAAAAAAATTAAATAAAAAATTACAAGCTACAAATTTTTTTTTAAAAAAAGCATACTTTGATTCCATGTCTTAACTTCCCTTAACTGTCGCGGAAAACATACAAGATTCGATCCCCAGTGCCACCGTTTTTTACACAAGCGCATGTAGTTATCCTATGTATTAGGGGGAAACTAGGTGCAAATTTTGCTGTCTAAAAACTGTTTACTTTTACAAAGTAGAGAATAAAAGAAAAAATGAAAATACAAAATTTAATGTTTAGAGTAAAAGTATAATAAAAAAAGATGCAAGTATAATAAAAATGATGTTTGTACAATAAAAAAGGATTTATAAGATAAAAAAGACCCCCACAAAATGGAGTTTCGATCAATTAATTTTAAGACCAGTAAAGTGTAATATCAGGTTTTGATGCAAAAGCAAAGTTTAAAGTTATAGAAAACATTTAGCAGAAATAATTATCGCAACAGAAGCACCCTAAGATGTGCTATGCAGACATAGATGACAAAAGTTTTAAACTCAACCAATTTATTAACATTATATATAGAAATAAAAATACAATAAATAAATTTGATCAATACTAGAAACTTAAAGTGTGTAACATAATCGTTGCCAAAAATTACACTTAGTTAACTATTCATTGACACCAAGGGTTTTTCCTTTAAAGAATATTACACTATTAATGATACAGTAAATATATTACCTGTTCTATAAATACTGGCATTCAATGACTCGCGAAAAACATATCACAGAACAAAACTATGCGATTAATTTGAATTTCACTTGACTAAAAAGGTATATGCTTTTGACAAAGAAGGCACCTGAAAAATTAAATTAAACCTTGAATGTACTTGAATTTGTAAATACCGCTCACTGCAGTTGCTCACGGGAAATCACAGCTTGGAAAAAACGTTGCCGCTAGACCTAAATAACACTGGTGTTAATGATGCCGCTTTCAGCAGTTGCTCACTGGGAACCACAACTTGAGATTTATCACCGCTTAACGTGGAAACAAGATGCCACCCACTGCAGTTGCTCACCAGAAACCACAACTTGAGATTCGACATCGCTTAATCTTGGAAACAGGATGCCGCCCACAGCAGTTGATCACCGGGAACCACATTTTGGGATTCAACACCGCTTAACCTTGGAAAAGCCAACATGGCCTGGAAACACAGTACTTATTGCTGGACGACACGCATCGCAAGAAAGTCTCCGAATGAGGGCTGGAACAGCACACCAGGAGCAATGAAAACAGGAACAAGGAGGACTAAGCCAGAGCGATGCGAGATATTTATACATGAAGTAGACATGACGTCATCTCACGGCAGACAATCAGCTGTCAGCACAACTTAGCTTTCCATATGACGTAACTTCGAGTTTCGTTTTTGCATCTTAATTAGGCTGGAACAGTCCGTTCTTAATACGAAGTAGAAGTAATTGCTATATCCCTTTAAAATAAGAACTAAACCTTATGTTAAAGTTAGAATTATTTCAAGAAGAAGAGATGATGCAGAAAAAGGGTCACAAAAGGTCATATGTTCCAACAGTATGCTTTACGCATGTACACGTTGAAAGAAATGTTTAATAAAGTAAACAAATTAATATTAAGCCTTTTTTTTTTGTAAATTTTGATACCTTTTAGATCATAATTGCTCTTTATTTCATAAATTACAGTTTCATATTTTTAATTTTATAATTTCTGCATGCCATCTTACCAGATTTAAACTGATGATCTATAATCCGGAAAAATCGATAATCTGGAATCGCCAAAATCTCGACGAGTCCGGATTAAAGACTTTTGACTGTATTAAAATTTCGAGAGGAGCACATGCCTTGCCCGACTTTAGAAGAAGTCAGAATTAATTTAAAACAGGGAAAAGGAAATTTTATGGAACTTGATAATATAATTTTTCATGAGGATAAAGTTAATGGGAGATTCAGTTCAGTAGTTAGTTCTTCCAAAGAGTCGAAGAAAAGCTGTTTTAAAATTAGCACATGAATCTGTTTTCGGGGATCACATGGGAATAAAGAAAACAAAAGAGAGAAACAGATATAATTTGTACTGGCCCAATATGAATAATGATATTACCGAATATTGCCTATCTTGCGAAACATGTCAGTTAAGAAGTACCGAAAAAAATAACTGATAGAATTCCTATTAGCCCAGTTCTAAGACCTTATTTACCAATCAAAATCGTAAAAAACAACCTTATATATAGGTCCTACAGAACATCCTTCGGCTAGAAAACATAAATATGTTTTATGTTTAATGGATCACATTCACGTTGGCCAGAAGCCATTCCATTACGTTCTTTAACGGCAAAAACTACTTGTGATGCTCTGTTGGAAATATTTACAAGAACTGGTATTCCGAAAATTATAGCAAGTGACCAAGGAACTAACTTTATTTCTCAACTGACACGAGAATTTATGAAGCATCTTGGATGTCATCCTAGATTTTCAGTTCCAGGATATCCAGCTAGTAATGGACTTGTCGAGAGGTACAACCGAGTTTTGGTTTTGAAAAATGCTCTACATCACATCATCTGTATGGATCCATCTAATTGAGATAAGTATCTACCATATTTGCTCTTTGCTTATCACAAGGCTCCCAGTTCTACTACAGGGGTTTCTCGGTTCAAGTTAATGTATGGTCGAGAGATATGTGGTCTACTGAGTGTTCTGAAATCTAGTTGGAGTGGTGAAATACCGATACCCTTAAATATGAAACAATCAGTTGTTGATTGTTTACAAGAAATGAAAATAAACTTAGAAGGAGCAGCTGATCAAGCATCCTTGATAGTATCTGAGAAACAGGCAGCTTATTCGAACTACTTTAATTGTCGAGCTATACCTAAAAAATTCTAAGTACGAGACAAAGTTTATTTGCTTATTCCCGATTTGTCCAATAAACTTTATGCAAGATGGACTGGTTCAGGGGAGATAATAAAGTACTGTCCACCTCATTCATATAAACAATGAAAAACGAAGTAGAAATAATTGCTATATCCTTTTAAAATAAAAACTAAACCTCATGTAGAAATTATAATTATTTCAAGGGGGAGAGATAATGCAGAAAAAGGGTTACTATAAGTCATATTTGCAACAGGTTTCACCGTTATAACTTGTAAAATCATTATACTCAAAAAAACATATTTCTTCTGAATCGGTTGAATGCCACAGGCAAGTTTTTCATATCAAGTCATACCCAACGTCGAGCATCTTTCAAAGAATAATTGCAATCCTCTTCATCTGATGTAATATCATATTCTAAGGTGTCCGATCCTGAAGATTATGGAAAGTAATCATCTATTTCACTGTCATCACTGACAGATATATTTGGAAAAAAAAGCACCTACTACAAACAGTAAACAAAAACGGAAGACACAGAATAAAACAAAAAATAAGTTTTACTCAAACAGAACCATGAGCAATAACCATGCAGTCATTACTTTCATAGTTTCAGAAATATCCTCTCGAATTCCTCCTCCCTCTTCTCTAAAATAGTATCCTTCTTCGCATACTCTATCATGGTCATTGTGGTGTTGCATTCCAAAGCTTTGTGAATAATTTTAATGGTAGCACAACAAAGCAAAATTACTCTAGGCATTTTGTAGCACAATATTGGACATGGAAAAATACAGCATGCAATTACAATAATGTTGATTTTTTTATGTCAAATTTTAGCATAATAGGACTCATAGAATGAACGAATATTCTAAGATAATTGAGTAAAAAAACTTGCATACAAAAATGAAGATGGTGGTGGTAATGGATTTATGGTGCAAAACTCTAAAGGCCATATGCACCAAACACAAGACTTGTACTTTAACACACAAGCTGTTGTACAGAGGTTAGATAAAAGACAAGTTTAAAAACAACACCACACTTACAAAATTTATACAAGTACTAAAATTATGAATGCTGGGATAAACTGGTAATTAAGATTCAGATAATGATATATGCAGTATAGATGTAAAATCAGAAAACATCTGATTAATTAAAATACATAGCATTAAAATTCTAATATGAAATCTCAACACAAATTAAATACTAGAGACCTGTTTCTTTCAGGTAGTGAAACAAATCGGTATTGACCTCTCTTCCGATTAAATGGTTGAGAAGCTTCTGATAAAAACTATTAAAATATGGATCCTCAACTAAAATGTGATAGACTGACAGACAAACATTAGAATTTGAACAAACTCATTCTCACCTTGCAGAAGGTAGTTATGTGTAACTCTAGTGTGACCAATTCTCAGGTGAGTCAAAAGAACTTCCTCCTTACAATTTTTAGTAGAATCCCAATGCTCTATTTTAGGCTTCACCTTCTCAACTTGCTACAAGATTGGAAGTCCCAAAATCGTTGCCATTTTTTTTTTTTTAAGATCACAGATTACAGGCTACAGATTTAATGTACAACTGCATTTGATGATACAACTGATATCTTTCAAAGGGATGAGGCGACCGGACATCTCAACAGCAGAGTTTGCAGTGATGTCTGCCAGCTTGTTAACCTTTATTTCTGTATACCTGGGACCCTAGCAGTACAGAATTTCATATCCATGACTTCTTAAGTTTATATTCAACTTGAGTACATCAACTACCACAGGATTCTCAGTGCTGGAAAGAGATTCTAAAGCCTTCAACACACTGTATGAG